TTTTGGAAAGTTTCAGTCACTCTGGATGATCTTTGAATTATTTTGACACAGTTCTGTGTCATTTCTAGCTTTTTGTTTTTTTATTGAGGGATTTTTAGACACATTTTTGTCATTTCTAACATAATTTGAATCATTCGGGAAAAATATTAGTTTGAGTCTTTCAACAACTCAACTAAAATCTTCACCTGCAAATGAACCGCTAGCTCAGCTGTCAAATCAGTGCAAAGCAATAAAAAACATCACATTTGCTGCTAGAACACACAGAAACATACCAAGTTTAATATTCTCACCTTGTGTCGTGCTTCTCCTGGTGGTGTGTCCTTGAACGCACCACGGCGGAGTCTGTTGCTGAGTGTGTGATTTGTGTTTCAGGACATTCAGGAGTTTCTGCAAACATGATGAAGAAAAAGAACTCGCACAAGTAAGTCAGACTCAATCTGATGCTGGTTTTCTGCATTTTTAGTCAAAGTGTAAAGTCGGGACGTTAATGATTAACTGTTAACAGAAGATAATGACTCAAAAGTCTGTCAACAAAAAACAGAAGAAGGTCGTGATGTCAGTAAACGTATCGTAGACCAGCTGCAGTACCTGGTTGTTCCACCAGGTGGAGCCTCTCACTGTTTAATCCTGTAGAGACCAGAGGAGGCGTCTACAGACTACAGCTCATGGTGGCAGCAGAGAGCATTGTGGGAGTTTAGCAGCAACGGGACCATGACAGAGACTCTGAGGAGGTTCAGGACCTCCAAGCAGAGCTCAGGCGTAGCCAGAGTCCAGCAGTCAGAGGGCCGATCGAACAAAGTGTCCATCGTTAACAATGTAAACTGTAGTTGTTTTAACAATTAATCGATTGTCGATTGATCACGTCGGTGACTAAGTTAAATTGTTAAAAACTTGCATCCTGTTGGGAAGTTTTTAGAGAAGCAGAAACATCTCGTCACTGACTTCACCGGGTTTCTGTTTGTCTTGATTGTTCCTGCTGGTTTTTCACCGACTCTTATTCTCGTAGATGAATCGTAGCAGCTGGACCTGCTTGAGTTCCTTGAAGACGTTCCACCTTCATCCAAGAGGCTTCATCAGCTCTGACTGACTAGTTGGGAGTTCCACATACTGATATCCTGAAGGAGCCGTGAACCACATCCACACCTCGCCACAGAGACCCTAACGAACCCCACTGTGGCAGGCGGAGCACTAACGACTCACATAACGAGGGGGAGGAGCAACAAACCCCCAATCAAAACCCAAACTCAGGTGTTAATGGCTCCTTGAGGATATGTGGAACTCCCAACCAGTCAGTCAGAGCTGATGAAGCCTCTTGGATGAAGGTGGAACGTCTTCAAGGAACTCTAGCAGGTCCAGTTGCTACGATTAATCTTCCAGAAGAACCAGGACCTGGAGGACTGAGGCTCTTCACCGACATGTTCACTGACTCTTGATGTTCTTCCTCTTTCTGCAGGAAACAGAGGACCAGTGTTGGTCCCAGTAAGACTCTGGCTCAGCCCAGAAGGAACATCGTCGGCTGCAGGATCCAGCACATCTGGAAGGAGGGAAGTAAGTCGGCTTTAATGTTCAGCAGAAACGGGTTTATGGCCAAGTAGGTTTTCACATACGAGGAATCTGACTCAGTGTTTAGATGCTGACAGTGAACACGCTGTGAACGCGTTCGCATCAACGATCATAAACATGATCATAAACATGAGTTAATGAACCGCCGTGAACACAAGTTTACATCCACGTGTAAAGACCATGTTTATTATGACCTTCTTGAGTTTCCAATGACTACAATGACCTTTAACCCCAAGAACACCAGACCTACCATCAAGCATGGAGGTGGCAGCATCATGCTCTGGTTCTGTTCTGCTGCCAGTGGACCTGGAGCTTTACACAAAGTCAGTGGAACAATGAAGAAGGAGGATCACCTCCACGTTGTTCAGGAGAACCTCAAACCATCAGCAGAAGGTTGATCTTGGACACAGTTGGATGTTCCAACCAGACAATGAGCCCAAACACACATCAAAGTGGTGAAGAAATGGTTCCATCAGGCTGGGATGAAGGTTCTAGACTGGTCTCCCCAAAGTCCTGACTGGAACCATCCAGAACCTGTGGACTGATGAAGAACCAAGTCTGAGTCAGAAAGACGACAAGTTTAGTTGAACCGCAGCGGTTCTGTCCAGAGGAGTCAGAGATGGACCAGAAGCTGGTGGACGGAACCAGAAGAACCCGACTGAGGAGAACATGGACGTTTAACCAGATCTTCTGTTTGTATATTTATGACTCAACAGGTTTTATTGTGTCTCCAGAAGACCTTTAATGAGTCTATGAAAGAACCAGAGTACAGGACAAAGATTCATGTCCAGTGGTTCCATCAGAGAAGATTCAGAGTTCTGGGAGTCACTGGAGACTGAAGATAAACATGGTCTCTACAGGTGGACGGACCTGGTGTCTGTAGCGGTCCGTACGTCTGTCATCAGCCCTCAGAGGTCTGACCGTGTCCGTCTGCTTCCAGGTAAATCTTCTCAGTGGAAGGGGACGGTGTTGGACCAGGTTCCGGTCAATCCGTCGCTCTACCTGATCAAGTACGACGGCTTCGACTGCATCTACGGCCTGGAGCTGTACAGCGACGAGCGGGTGGTCGGGCTGGAGGTTCTGCCCGACAGAGTGGGTGAGCGCCGCCGACAGGAAACGATGTTTTCTCTGAACGTTCTGGAGGAAGAACTCCGGATCACTCGGCTACCAGTACAAGTACACACAGAGTACTGTTACTATAGTAACGACACATTAATGTTGCAGCAGCTTATCTTTACATCATTTCCAACAGATTATATTTCTTATTATAAGTCTGATTATGCTAATTAACGTAGGCTATTTAATTAATTAGTGAAGTCGTAGAGACACAGCGGAGAGCAGCTCATTTAGAAAATTGAAACAACCTGATATTTGTCATTTTGGTTGATAATAATGTTAAAAATCTGATTATTTGTTATTTAATTGTTTTTTTTCCCACAAATATTAATATTTTTGAAGGTATTTCTATTTTATTTTATTTTATGTTGTATATTGTGGAGCAGTGAGAGCGCCAAATTACAAAAATAAATCAATAAAAGAAAAATAAAATAAAAAATAAATAATGTGGCAAAATTAATCAAAAATAAATCCATGAGAGAAAAGGCTGATAAAAGTAGAAATATAAAGACAAATAAATAAAATAATACAAATTTATTTTGTATTATTTTTAAAATGTATTTATGTATTTTGAAATTATTTAAATTTTAATTAATTTATTTTTTTAGTTTCAGTTTAGTTCAATAATTAAAACAAAACTTTTTATGGCTTCAATTCAGCAAATTCTCAACTTGAAATACTTTAAAACACAAACTTAGTTCTAGTCACAGTTTGGTCAGAACGATCAGAACCAGCAGCTGGTTCCGCTTCATGAATCTACTTCCTGCCTGATGATGTAACCGCAGCGTCTTGTCTGTGATTGGTCAGCTCCGGCCCGTGTGAGCGACTCGCTGCTGGCCGAGACGATGATCGGGAAGGCGGTGGAGCACATGTTTGAGACGGAGGACGGACCCAAGGAGGAGTGGAGGGGGATGGTTCTGGCCCGGGCTCCCATCATGACGTCCTGGTTCTACATCACCTACGAGAAAGACCCGGTTCTGTACATGTACCAGCTGCTGGACGACTACAAGGAGGGAGACCTGCGCATCATGCCCGACTCCAGTCAGTCCGAGCTCCACTTAGCAGCAGCTGATTAGCGTCATGTTTTGTTTCTGAGACCAGATCATTTCTAGTCCGTCTTTGGGTTCCCAGCAGGATTGTTGATGGTTGTGATGAAACGTTTATGGAACATTTCACCAATCAGAAGCTGCAGTTTTTAGCCAGTTAATCAGCAACGACACTTAATTTTTAAAGAACTTATACTTTTCTTCTCATTCGATGTACTTCCTGTTCTGCTCCACACATACCTGAATGCTACACTAGGTAGCCATTAGCATTGTGAAGGAAAAGAGAGCCAGACGTCAGACCATCCTGTAGGTTGAAGCCGCTCTCTGTCTGCTCTCCTTGAACCTCCACCTCCATGTCGAGGCCTGGTCCTCCTTGTTGTGGTGTTCTGACAGATTAGCGCTAGCGTAGCATCCGGAGATACGACAGAACTCTCTGTTCTGGTCAAGGTTGTCTGTTTCTAACAACACTGAGCAGACAAGCTGCCTCCATGTTGGTCTGTAATCTAGATCTGGCCCCTCACCCAGGATAGCATGTACCTGACGGTGAGAGAGGATCCTCAGAACCGATGCTGGCGCTGTTGGCATGAACTCTGTTGGTTATCGGTAAACCTTGTTCCGACATAAACATCTGAGTCTCTGTCGTCTATCGGCGTCGGCCTCCTCGTCCTCCAGCTACCTCTCTGACTTCCACAACAAGCATCCTAGTGACAAGCACTAGGACCTTTGGCTAATGGTTAGCATCTCTAGGATAGCTACTAGCATTAGCATCTGTAGGATGACACTAGCATTCCTAGGATTGTCAATAGCTTCCCTGAACTAGAAACTAGCATTCCTAAGTTAATCCCTGGCATCTTTAGGCTAGTGATTAGCAATTAGACACTTGCACCAAGTATTCCTTGGCTAGTGATTAGCATCCCCAGGAGTCTGACTAGCATCCATAGGATAGTGGTTAGCATCTTTTGGCAAAAAAATGGCATTCTTAGGCTAGCCACTAGCATCTCTAGGCTAGCAGTTAGCATTTATTATGTGGTCATTGTCATCCTTGGGTTGACATTAGCATCCCTAAGATAGCAACTAGCATTGCTAGGCTAGTCCCTGGTATCTCTATGCTAGTGATTAGCATTCCCTAGACTCGTCAATAGCATTGGTTTAACAATTGGACACTTCCGACAAACATTCCTTGGCTAGTGATTAGCATTCCCACAGTACTGACTAACATCCTTAGGATGCCTGTGGCGATCACATTTAGCCTAGCCGCTAGCATTGTTAAGATACTCAGTGATATCTCTGTGGTGGCAGCGCGTGAATAACAACTCTGGTCTGGTAGCTAGCATGCTCAGCTCATGATCTGCAGGCTTGTAGCAAGCAGCTAGCATTCCTACGCTAGTTACAGCTGTTTTGTTGTTTTTGTGTTTTGATCTCAAGCCTAAAGTAGAGAAATTGATGTCTGAAAAGAAAGCAAAGTGAGTTAACTGAACAGGAAGTGACATTTCTGTGCTTGTCCTGCAGATGACAGCGTGGCGGCAGAGCGAGAACCCGGCGAGGTGGTCGACAGTCTGGTGGGGAAGCAGGTGGAATACGCCAAAGAGGACGGCGGGAAGCGTTCGGGGATGGTGATCCACCAGGTGGAGGCCAAACCCTCCGTCTACTTCATCAAGTTCGACGACGACTTCCACATCTACGTGTACGACCTGGTCAAGACCTCCTAAAACCAGAAAACTACAAAGAGACTCACGAGAACGTCCACCAGAACCCGCCCAGTGAAGAAGAAGCGCCGCCTGGTTCCTAAACGGAACCCATCAACCAGTTCTTTACTTTGATGAATCGCCTTAAAAACAGGGCAGACAGAACCTTCAGAGCAGCTCCAAGGCCATCACTCATTCATTGCTCCTCGTTTTTGTTCTTTTAGGATCCAGAATCAGCCAAAAGACAGCGTTGGTCCCGAACTTTGGAACATTTGTACTAAAATATCTCCAACAAGTTTGAGTCTTAGAGCTCGACTCACCTGAGACCCTGCAGACGAAGGTTTTCCGTCCAGAAGAACCTCCTCCTGCTTCCTGAAACCCCGTCGGAGCTCCGTTATCTGAGGAAAAGGGGGCGGAGTCTGTGGGGTTAATGAAGGGACGAATCAGCAGCCTCCACCTGCCCAAGGTGGCTCACAGAGCATTTCCTGGCCACGCCCCCCTAGAGGTCACCTGATGGCGAACAGAGACGCTGAAGGAGAAAACAGGACGTGGACTCTTTTCTTTCCGTTTGTCTTTTTCTTGTGACTTGAGTTTGTTTGTCGTCGGTGTTTTCATCAGAACATCGCGACGTTAGCGTCTCCAGAAAACAGCTGCTGCTCAGCGTCCAACCAGGTTCTGAGCTCCAGACTTCACCTTATTTATTGTTTATGAGCAGAATGAGAACATGTGTTGCTTTATGACTCACTGTAACGTAGCCGTTAGCTCGTCTGAGGACATTTAGCGTGTTTATTGATGTAACGTGATATTTATATTTTACATCAC